AGAGAGAGAGAGAGAGAGAGAGAGAGAGAGAGTCTTTGGCAAAAAATTCTTCAGAAGTACATATCTGGTTTGTTGTTTAGTTATTGGTTTGTTGTGATTCCACAGGAAACATCTGGAGCAATGCAAAAGAATGATGATCCACCGGCAGGTAGGCAAATTTTATAAGGAAATTTGAGTTTCATGGTACTGAGTTTTAGCTTTGAAGTTTAGTTTTTTTCTTTGGGATTAAAATTTCTTGTGTCGTTAACTTTTGTGGTCATTGGTTGATTTTCTAACCATGCGCCGCGACTTTGTTTGTAACAGCAAGCACAAGCAACAATCCAAGCCTGGTACAGGTGCAAATGATATTTTTTTTCCACTTCCTATTTTGTATATCTTTAATTTGTAGAATTGTAAAGTCACCCTTACTCAATTTTTTTTTTTTTATAGAATTGATCCATAGTTTTACAAACAGCTAAATGAGATTCCAATCATAAATTTTCCTCCCTTCTGACCAATGCCTTTCATATGGTGATGTCAAAAGTATTGGCTGATAATTCAAAAGAGTGAATTCTTTTATTCTCTAATATTCGTGGAGTTATACTGAATTATACTGACTTAAATCTTTCAGGGACCTGATTTTGAAGCCAAAATCTCCAAGCTGATGGTGCTTGGTTTTGGGCGTGAAGCAGTGATACAAGCACTCACTCTTGCTGATGGTAATGAAGAGCAAGCAGCAGGATATTTATTTGGGGGCTGATATTTGTCATTAGTTATTATTTAACCATTTTTTCTAAATTTTATGAGATACATGATTTTGATTCAAGTGACTGATTTGATCATTAAGTGAAATTTTAAGTTATGAAAAAAACAGAAGAGGAAAAAAAGTTTGTGACTCAGTCTCCATGTTTTTTTTTCTCATGGGACTTCACTTGGTTTTTTTTTTTTGTTTCGAAAATAAATCTTTCTATATCTTAGTGTTTTTTACTTTGATGAGTAGAGATTGTCTACAAAGTGATCATTTATCTTTTGTAAATGGAGGTCACAATCATTTTTATCGGTAGTTGTTAGCAGTGTAGGAAAAATCAAATCAGAACGGTTATTCAGACATGGGTCGGAAGTGGTTTAATCAGACTAAGCGGTAAATTGGCCGGTTCAACCGGCCTAACAAGGCAAGTCCTGGGCAGTAAAAAACGTGTTAAAAAATAAAACAAAACAAAAAATCTAATAAAATATGAATATTATATATAAAGAATGATTAAATAGAGCATATTCAAATAAAGTAGAAAATTAACCAAAAAAAAAAAAAAGATTGTAAAGAATCTATTTCTGTTTAAGGGTATTTTTTGAAATTTTTCAAAAAAGATGGGAAAATATGAAAACAAGTAATGACCAAAACAATTCCCAATCTTTGTCAAAATGATGAAAAACATTAAAAAATATATTACAAATAAAATCCCTTATTTTTTTTGGATGTTATATAATTTTTTTGATATTTTTGTAAAATATCATGTTGACTCATCAAAATTGGTTGAAATTGAAATCGGTCAGGCTGGTTCCGTCTAACTGGGTGGTTAGAAATTGAACCGCCCGATTTTTCTTACGTTGGTTGTGAGAGTGTTATTGAATAGACATATAGTTTTAAAAAAACAAAAAATAATTTTCGGATTTTGTGACTCTCCTCAAATCATTCAATTTGACATCTAATGAGTGGGATTGTGATCTTTATGTACAAAAGATAAATGGTCTTTTTATAGATATTCCCTTGAGATTAAATGTCCGAGGAGAAAGTTTATATAAGGGTGAGGCCTTAAACAATCAAAATAAGGTGCATTTCAAAAAGTCATTAGAAAATATTGTTTAGATGCTCAAAAATCCTCAAATTGATCAACTCGATACATGAGAAAAATAGATTTCATGTCTTGGAAAAAACGCATCTTGTAATACATTTTTTGGACCGTTAATTTTTTTGAACTGTTAATAGATCTGCTTGATCTACACTAGCTTTAAATTTTATAAATAGAGATGAAAATACATTTTAAGGCCATCATAAATATTTTCAGTACTGAAACAAGATCTTTTGATACTATCTAAAGTTGTGCCTTACATTGATTGTTTAGGTTCTTGACCTTGTACACAATGAGACCATTTATCCCATTTATGTTTAGTATTAGGTAGTTACAACTAATTTTAACGGTTGGATGTAAAATTCGGTGGCTGCACTTGTTCCATTGATTGACCTCATACTTGAAAAAGATAATTTTTCGAACTTCATGGCATATCCAAACTATTAAATTTTACATAGGATGATTATAACATTCTTGTATCAAAGATAAATGATCTTAGTATATACGATCCCATAATACATGGAGTTGACACTGTTATTGGTTTGTGATTATTTTGGAAATATATTTTAACATAATGTGTTTCGTACTTCAAAAATTATCGATATCTGCTCCTTTGAGATAGGAAAAATCAATAATATTGAGTTATACATAGTTATGTCAGACTTTATTGAGATTTGGTAAAATGTTTTGCTTATTTTAAATTTGCTTATTTTTATTTCTCTAAATTGAGTTAAAAATTTTGGACTAAATACGATGTCATGAATCTGTAGTTACGTCAACAATTTACTAAGAAATTACTCATTTTCTTTTCTTTTGGTTAGTTGTAAGAACGTGGAAAAACCAGACTGCAAATAAAGAATGAAATCTCTTTAAAGAACAGAAAGCAGCTCCATTTTCCTGAAGGGCTAGGTGAATGAACCACTCAAACGTTGCTTCGTACTGATTCTCATCAGTAATCTCCCTCTCTCTCTGTCTCAGATTATTCAGAACTTAATTATTGCTAATTTGCAAGCAAAATCTCTCTTTCTGAATAATCATGCCGCCTTCATTTACAAGCAGCATCTCGCCCTCTCAAACTCGCACAAACATAAACAAATGCACCAACAAGAATCTAATTACTACCATTAATTTTTTTTGGCCAAAAGCCAGATAAATGTAAACACTATCTAGAACCAAAGGCCACAAAATCATTACCCCTTTTAACATTTCTTTCTTTCACTGATTTATTCCTCATTATAAGTATTCATTCAAGAATCAAACCTGAAACTAAAAACCAATGAAAAAAGGAGTACTAAACCCCATTGATCACAATTGAGCTCCTCACATGGTGGGTGCCATCGGACCAAATCAACCTTCCAAACGAATAATTGCCGAAATTTTGGCTTTTCAATGTAAACTTCACAGTGTAGCTCTTCTCCTCTCCCTCCTTCTCAAAGCTCAAACTTTTCGGCGAAACATCGACCGAAACACCGGGAGGCGATTGCACACGCACAGTGTAAGTTGCTGGTGGGCCGACGAGCTTCACCACACGTGTGACGGTGACAGTACTTGTGAGATTAGTGATGGAGAGAGAGGGGTAATTAAAGTCTAGTAATTTGGGTTTAGGGGTTGGGCAAGTGTAGTTTTGGCCACTAATGGCCGCGATTGAGCTCTGGTCGTAGTCAAGGACACAGAGGAAATTGAGGTAGTCCGTGGGGGTAAGGTCATAGACAAGGCCGGGGTCGGCTGCAGCATTGGGTCGGACATGGCCCGCGCCGTAGCTGAATGGTGTGGCCCTCTCCAAAGACGCATCCTTGATCGCCAATTCCATGTTGTCGCTGCGGCGAGCTAGAGAGAGAAAATAGATGCTGGATAATGTGTTCTAGAGAGAGAAAGACTCGTAAAAAAGCGAGAGTCTTACAGAGAGAGAGTGTTGTAGAGAGCAGTATTTAAAAAATCGAACCGGCCAATTAGTCAGTATTAACCGGTAAATATTAAAAATAATTTAAAAGAATATAAAAAATATATTTAAAGCATGATTAAACAAAGCACAATCAAATAAAATTGAAAAATTAATGAAAAACTAATTTAAAAAATCGACGATCAAAATAAAATTGAAAAATTAGTGAAAAAAACGAATTTTTTTTTTTCTTTAAAAGAAATGCATTACCAGTGGTCATGATGGCAGACTTGATGGCGGCCTGGGACCAATGGGGGTTGCGGGCCTTGATGAGAGCAACGACACCAGAGAGGTGAGGGCAGGACATGGAGGTGCCTGAGACAATGTTGAATGGCACCTTCCTCTTGTCAAATTCCAAATCAGTTGGAGACCTTGCCTCAGTGTACGCTGCCAATATGTTAACGCCTGGTCCCGTTATATCGGGCTGCAATAACGTCGAGTGAGTGAAACACATGACAAAATGCCAGCACAAAAACTCTTATATAAACTAAATTTGGGGTGTGGTTTGCTAAATGTACCGCGCTTTACAATCAAAGTAGGGTGCACTTTAAAATAATATCGAAAAATGTTTTAGGATTTAAAGTATTTGTGATGGAATGAAAATTTATTTTTATCTCTAATTATAAAATTTGAAGCTTAAAATATAGTAAGGATCGAGTTTACCTATGAACACTTTAAAATATTGAAAATTGACGGTTAAAAAAATGCATTACAATATCTAATTATATTTATGACTTTAAATTCATTTTTTCTCATGTCCATACTATCTTGAGGTCGAGATAATCTATTTAAAGATTTTTGGTCATCAAAACAATATTTTCTAGTGAATTTTTGATGTGTACCTTAAAATGATTGTTTAGAACATCACCTTTATATAAACTCTTTTTTAAGAGATTGTATGTCTTGATATTTATCTTTATTATAAAAAAAAATACAATTACTTTTAGCCATTAGAAGTCAATATTTAATTGTAAAAGATGATTTAACGAGTGAAATATAAACAAAACTAAAAAAATAGCTTGAGAAAATTCAAAAACATTTAGAGAAATAATTGAAAAGTGTGTATTTTAATAAGAAAATTCACTCGTCATCGTACAAAAACTAGTATCGACGAGGCTCTCTAGCAAGCCATACCACCTCTCCCTACGAATCCATAGAACCAATAAAAGAACCCAATCACAAATACAGGTGGGAACTGGATCGGGTAGACCCATGGAACCGACAGGTCTACTCGATAGGGTTCGGGTTTGGACCTAAACGTTGACCGATGGATTGGGTTTGGGTCCA